AGTCCGCCTCTGATCAGAGAAATATGGGCTCTGCCCCCTCATCCCATCAACCTATCAACATCTCGGGAGGAGAAGCTTCAGGTGAATTGTCTTCTTCTTCCTTTTGTTGTCATCTTAATCATTCTGAAAAATTGCAAAATTTCGGTTCTGGCCTTGCACGAGAAGCACACACCTTTTCATCGGAAAGAACATTAAGACAAAAGAAGAATTATGATTTACATCATCAAACCATTCACGAGTCGTTTCTTCAGACTCATTCACGACCGAGACCATTGAAAACTTTCTCTTCTTTACCGAACGAAATTCAAGTGAATCGTTCGTATCCATCATCTTATCCTCTTAAAACCTGCCATCATGAAGAAGTCAATGTAAAACTCAAAGAACCTCAACAAGTACATCTAGACGTTAAACGTCCACATTCTCTCAGTTTGCCCTCATCTCCCGGTCTGTCCATACCGTCCGACAAACATGGACGATTTCTATCCCTATCTTCTCAACATGTAAATTCTTCTTCCACCTTGATCATGGTAAAGGAGCGAAGCAAGAATTCTTTGAACAATTCAACACCTCCTCCCGTTTCATTATCAACAGTATCTACAACCTCCCAACAACCCAAAGACTCCCCCAAAAACCAGTCGGACGATTCAAACTCAAAATCAGTAGTGCTTCCTCGTCCAACAAAACCACCCATATCGTATTTACACCCCAATTATGTTTCATCAGATTCCAATTCTTCTTTGCATCGAAAGACAGTGGTTAGCAACCATTTACCTCAATTACGTCAACGCAGACGAGAAGGTCCTTTATGGCAGGAATGTGCCTCTGCTACCGCTTCACATGTGAATACCTTAAACTCTTCCTCCACTCACCCATCTCAAACCTCTCATTCCTTGTCAAGATCAAGTAATCAAGTAGCTTCGACTCGAATTCCAGACGATGTCAACCCACGTTCTTTTTCGCCGTTCAAAACATTTCACAATGATTCACAACCTTTGCAAAACAGCGTTTCAGATTCCTCAATAGTGCAACAGCATCAAAAATCACACGCGGATCGAACAACACCCTGCACGACACCTCCACCAGAAGTAAATTTAGGTAATGATGAGTGTCGCATTACAGTCACAGCACCTACATTTCCCCCCAGCATGACACCGAAGCACCGCCTCCACAAGAAACATCATCACATTTCAAAGCGTTTATTTCAACTCCATACACGTCGACAGGAATTAATCAATGACCATCCAATTTATGCCCACTTCAAGAATTTCAAAGAGGAGTCTTTGTCTGAGCAATACGTGGACGAGTTCGAACAAGAGGTTAAACTGTAGTTGGCCGCCCATAAACTACTTCCTTTTTCGTCAAATTCCAAAGACTTCGACTAAACAAACCACAGGCAGTCGATTTACTAAGTACACATGAAACATGTGAACATGAGAGGTTCTTGTTGGTGTGCAGACACCACATTAGTGCCTTCGAAATAATAAATATTGACCGAGACTCTCTTTTCAAATAAGTCTCTCCGGAGAATGATATCTCATGAAGGAGGGGCGTGGAATATCGCGTTTGTTTCACAAAAAAAACGTTCGAGACACACACTCACCTCTCGTGTGGTCGTGTGGTGCAACAGCAGTTTGAATGGGATCAAGTGCAAGCTCCTCCTTAATCAACAACAACAACGGGAAATCGCATCATGGAATTGGTGAATTTAACGACAATGATCCACATACCAACATCAGCCTCCACACTGGATCGACTCCTCAGACAAAACAAACACCTCTCTCCAACAAAAACAAGGAATCTTCGACTTCTTTCTCAGCTTTCTTACAA